GTTTTCACCTGTAGTTTACCGCAGTAAAAGGAGGAAATGATGGCACCACCAGTAGAGAGCACTAGGTTGTGATAGAAGCAGAGAGATCCCTTAAGTGGAAAGGCTTGCTAGACTGCACATTTCATGAATGTACAGTGCAGTGCAGTCTTCAAAGTACAAGAAAGCTTGGTCCCATTACCAGTCTGCTTGTAGATATGCTATCCAGTGTCCTGACCTTTTTGTAAGAGATGGAAGAACATGCAAGGAGGCTGCAGGAAGGGCCGCTATTGCTGCATGACTTCTCAGGTCAGGTTTTACTCTTCTGAAACTGCGGAACTTCCCTTGAGATTATCTGTGGGCTGGGATTTTATACTATGGAAAGGGAGCGTTGAAAATGAAGGTCTGTTTTCTGTAAAGGTTCTAGGGGAAGATGGAAAATAAGGTGGATGAAGCCAAACTTATCTTCATATTCTGACAAAATGTAGATTTGATTGTTTCACAGTTACTTCTGCTTTCTCCTCCTCTCTTTTCCAGCCATGGAACTCCAAAGATTGGACTGACACAGGTGGATGGTGGAGCATTTCAGACACCCTCATATGCACAAAACAATGAGTTACTATCAGCTGAATATAGTATAACTTTAGAGGATAAAATACTGCATTTTCACATGTTTTTACACCTTCTCAATTGTGGGGGATGTATATATACATTTATATATATATATATATAAAATTGAACCTGTCTGGAGTTCCAGGTTCCATTTAAAATGTGTACCATTTAAAATGTGAGTAAAATCCCCCCCTTAAAATTTGTATCATAAGGCATTCAGAATTTCTGGTAGCAAGCAGTTGATGTTAAGCAGTAGGTGTTGGAAGAAGTTCTGCGTTTTGAAAAACAAAACTGTGCTGGGAAAACACAGTTTCACTCAAATTTTTGTCAGTAATCTTCTGGAATTATTTTAGGTACTTATCAGCGTGTTGTCTGGGTTTGGGATTTTTTGTTGTTGCTCTGCATTATCTGATACATGTTGTCTGACACGTCATGTAGATATGCCACCACTTGAAAAAATTGCAAAAAAGATTATGACAGTCTTTGCATTTTCTGCAACAAGCGGTCTTCAGTTTTACTTTCAGCCAGTAACAGTAGCATATAGTAGCTGAAGATAGATGTGTTTGGGAAACTTCAGTGTGTTACTTCCTGCCAGTGAATATTCATTTTGAGTTGATACGTTGCTTTTTGATTTGTAACCAAAGCAAAAATTTGCTTTTGGTCTATTTCAGTTTCTTTGTTTTGATACCATTTCTTCCCTGCAGCTGCTGCCATCAAATAGCTTGGAGATAGCCCAAGATAACAGAAGATTTGTGAAAAATACTGAATTCTTGTTATTGTTTAATGATGTCTGTGTCAGGTTGGAATCTCTTTCAATGATACATATATTTTATATTTGTCTGAGCTGCTTTATCCTTCTTCATGTAAAGGTTATTATCGTTTTTATCTAAAAGTGCTCATCCACTGCGGGCTTAATGCAAAGCTGATTGTAACCCCACTGCATCTTACGATGAATAGATCATTGATACTCAGCTAAGTGGAAATAATTTTCTATGGCAAAGCAGAAGAATTTAAAGTAATATCACACTAACCTCTGGTAATTTACTGGGATTTACAGATTAAAATGATTGTTTGCGAAATGACTGTGGGATAGCACACACTTAGGGCAGGAAAATCAAACACAATACGATTGTGTACATTTGCCTGTTTTTACATGCATACATAAGCATGTTGTTTGTATATACGTAGCAGATGCAGTTTTACATACTCTAACCTGCATGTAAAAATACCTATCATATTTATGTAACACTCGGACCCGTTTGACAGCTTTGAGACTACAGATGGATTTTTTTAAAGTTGTGATCTCGTTTGTTTCCAGATTAGATTTAGCTTGTTCATGTCCAATAAGGAAAAAAATATATACTTTTAATTCATGTTATGCTAATTGAGATAGTCTGAAATCAGTCAATTGAATGAACCAGAAGAGTATCAGTTATGTCTAAGATCATGTAATTGATATTGGCTATGTAATTTTACTGTACTCCCAGGTGAACATACAGTGCTGTTTTGTCTTTGTTCAAGTGGCTGACTTCCTGTGCTTTTTGGTGTAAACCTCTTAGTAAATAATTTGCAATTTATTAGGAAAACAATGGCAGTACATATAATTAGTTATTCTCTTATGTTACCTCTATTTGATTACTTTCCTGCTATCACATGCAATATGAAACCATCTATTATGAGGTATAGAATATGTAAATATCTAACTTAACAAGAGTAACTGGAGACCGGTCCTTTTTCTAAAGAGGTGGAAAATAAAAGAATAATTGTTAACCATGTCCTTTCATTTTCTTGAAAACATCAATTACATTTACAAATCCCAGAAACACAAGCCCACCAGTGGAACAGAAATAACTCCTTTCAATATGCTTCAAAAAACCTAATCACATCTAACAGCTGAAATTTATTTACAACTGTAATTTGAAACATTAATTATGATAATGTGCTGATTTCTTTTGTAATACGTTTCTGAAAAGCCTGGCAATTTTCTTTTTGGTCTTGGTGTAACATATGTTTTGTGACTTGCAGAATTTCTCTACCTTTCTTTCTTGTTTTTTTTTTTTTGAAAGACACCCAGAAGGAAAACTTCTTTTTCTCCTCTGTGTTTGTTAACTGTTTTCCTCCCTTTCCCCATTATTATTATATATATTTTTTGTAGTGGCTGTTAATTCAAGGAGATGGATTTTAGTGCCCACACTGACTCTCAGTGTATTGGTGACTGAATGCAGTGTATCTATTTTGGACACAGTAAACAGCAGTGATGATTCACTGTACAGTGGTACCACAGCACTTCAGCTGTGTCAGACCAGCAAAAAGCTGTTTTATAACTTTGTCTTGCTACTACTTTTAGAAGGTGCCTCATTGATACATATATTTTGTTTTATATATAACCCACAGTTTGCTAAATTAGTTTTGAGAGGACTTGCTGGCTTATTTGGCTGTAAAGACAATTTGCTTGAGGGAATACTTACATGGTTTGATTCTTACTTATGGAAAATAGGTCGTCTCATTACCTGGCTTTACTTAGAAACCTTTAAAGAGAATGGCAAAAAGACTCTATTTTTCGTTTCATTTGTGTCGTGTTTTTAAGTTGTGTTTTTCTGTGTGATGGGGAGTTTGGCCAAAAAAATGGAATTTTTATTAGGACATGAAAAGGTCTCTAATGACCCTTGAAAGTGGACAAAAGGGTAGCACAATAAGTGACAGAACTCTAACGAGCTTGGAGGGCATTCCAGGAAAAAAAGAAATTAAATCCTTTAATTTTTTTCGGCTTGCCATTTTCTGACAGCTTATCAAGTGATTGGGACTTGTTTGTTTTGGCATGAGGTTCATTCATTGTAGGCAGCCGGTACTTTGTTCTTCTTTGTGGTTTCCAAAACCTGATTGTGTTTATCCTAGACTGTGGGAAAAGTGTATATTCCTGTTTCCTTTATAAAAGTAAACGTCAGGTTTTGTATGAAATTTTATTTCCCATATTTTCCATTCCATTAATCATTATTGTTAAAATATGTCAGGCTTTGGCAGATCATCCTTTGTTTTCATATGATTGTACAGATTGCAGTGTCGGTGTGAGACCTGTTAAGTCAAAAAGTGAGCATGTTTTGGCCATAGTAATTATTACTTAATAAAGTGTAGCTGAGGGACTTGCACTGTTATTAAAAATGGACTAGAATTTAATTTATTGCTGTTGAACTCCTGTAGGTGGATATCTAGCTATTGCATAGCATTTCCTCTCTTAGTCAAGAGAAGACCAGACTAGAAGGAGTCATGATAACTGCCCTTTGCCTACCTGGAAAGGTAGATGCAAAAGGATACAGAATAATCCTGTCTGTGATGAAGAAAAGGAGAAATGATGTTCTGCAGTTGCAGCTCAGAATGATGAAGATGCTGAGAACTGCATAGGGAGACTGTAAAAAATCTCTGCAATTGGAAGGTTTTAAGACTGGGTTAGATGTGCATCATTTCTGAGTGAATTGGGTATGCTTGGTTCTACCTGGGGTACCAGACTAAGGAAATTGCAGCTCTATTGCTAGGATTTGTGGTCTGTGAAATGCTGAAGATGTCAGTGTGGCTCTTTGTTGGCATTTTAATACCCACCATATCAATCTGTTTTTGGATGTATGTGTCTTTGTGTAAGCGTTAGGTCTGCCTTCCATGACTAAAGCTATGATTCTGGGTCTCTATGTATGGTAACTTAATTGCAATAGGAAAAGGAGAGCAAAAACGTTTTGCATTGAAGAATTGGATGATTCACAAAAAGAAGGAATTCTTTCTGAGTGTGACGTGTATACATTATGGATAACACTGTGTTGAATCAATAAACGTTCCTTTCTGGTTGTATCGTGGCCGACTGGTGGTAAGATTTGAAGGCTGTTTAATAACTTCAGCCAACTCCTGAACCATAGCATGTAGCCAGATGTTTCATAAGGTCGTTTTTTCATCGTTTGATAAGTTCACACTTTAAAAAGAGTTTAAAAAGTCTCTCATTGGCAGATAATAAATATAATACTGCAGGCACCAAGAACACAGAATCAGAAACTTAGAGATGGCAGAAGCCATAGCATTCATCTCTTTGCAAGCCTAAGGTTCTGCCTTGTGCTTGGTCGTATTTGTTTTCATTCAAAGTAGGTTTTACTGAGTTGACTGAAACAAAAGCAAAATCTGAATTGAAGTATGAGTTAGACTTCTGTTACTGAAAATCTCAAAGGAAATGGTTATGTTTAGTCTGTTTTATGGATAGTCTTTTGTACTCAGTTTTTATTACTTTGCAGTGATAGAATGCAAATAAAATAGAATTTTTGAGGAGCTTCTAATCAGTTTTTACGATGTTTCTTTTTTTTCCCCAGAGGCTTTCTCGGGATGCATCTGGAAAGACAAGCATTCAATTTCTAGGCACAGTGGTAAGTACACATAACTACTGTCAAGAGTTATGTTGGTAGTGTCTCACGTAAACAGAAGATAAGTGAATAGCACTGGCAACGTGTTTAAGCTTGCGTTTGTGAAGGTTGGCATTATGTATAAACATTCTGAGCCTAACACCTCAATTTAGGTAGATTTTTAAAGATATCTTCCAAGGCATGATGCACAGTACCTGCACTGCACGTTTCAATTGATTCAAGTCTGCCTGTGATTCATTTACAGTGGATTTAAAAGTAGCTGAATATATACTTGTAAGCTTATTGCAAGATACTCACGTTTGATCCACATCAGGATCAAAACCAATCTTCCTACTTCTGTTGCTCCACTGTACCATGCACCCTCACATACCGAAGGCATGCCTGTAACTGTCTTATACAAAGACTACTTATTGAGGCAAAGTACTATGACTTTTTCTCACTCTAAGCAAATGTGCTCCTAGTTGTTCTTTTTTTTTTATTATTATTATTTTTTTTATTTTTTTTTCCTGAGGAGAGTTTCACCATTTGACAAAAATTGACAATAAACTAGATTTCTCACTTGCTGTTATATGGAAGAGAAATAAAGGTATTAGGTAACGGGTGCTTATAAACATAAATGTGATTGAAGGAGAATCCAGTTCTATCATTTGCATGATTGATATGCTGCCATTGAATTTTTTAAAGTTCCTCAGGCACCTAAAGACAGTTCTAAAAATTAAATAACATTGAAGTATCCTCTAAAGTAAGTTGTCTTGATTACTGCCAATAGGCTTCCCAGTAGTGATTCTGACAGTGAAAAGCCCAGGAACAAAATGTTCTCCTTTGAAGTTAATCCTGGCATCTTCATGCACTGTAACTTTCAAACAAATACAAGTTAAGATTGAGTATGATAATGCTTTCATTCTACTTATGATTGATTCTTCTACAAGGCCTGTGTAGCCATTTTTGGGGACGAATGATGTGGCAAGAGTAAACTCGAGACAACATCTTTCCTTGTGTGTTTTATACAGATGAAGTGTGCTTCTAATGTTTTTTGCTTTTTTGAGTATGTATATTGATGCACATACACTTATTTATGTCTTATTCAATATCAAGCAGAGCATCAATTACAAATTAAACATAAAAGATAAGTTTTGCATACACAAGATCGTTGCTGGCTGACTGATCTGCTAGGCTTGGGTGAGAAGAAAATAATTATTCCCAAGTAGGTAAGATACAAACATATTGCATCTTTGTAAGAAGATACTGAAAAGAGTGTAATTGAACTCCAAACGTGGTGCTGTAGCACTGGGAAAATTCTGATGTTTGTTAGTGGCATTAAAAATAAAATTTGTTGTTAAGTGAGATGTAAAAATATTCTGTATTCATATGTTAAAAAGTGACTTGGAGTTCCACTTATGGACTGTAACTCTTGTGCTGGGCGTTGTACAACAGGAAAGAAAAGGACAGAAGAGAGTACAGTTTTGATTTGCTTTTGACTTTATAAAATTAAAGATGAAACAGTTGGTGGATTATAATATTTGTCAGGTCTCACTGACTAGCTCATGCCATATTTATTGGATCCTTCTAATTTTGTGAAATCAAGTGTATGATTATAACTAAAATTCTTAAGAAAAACTAAGAAAAAAACCACTTTGTATTACGCTGTCCAAGATTTCTGACTTAATATAAGTTATGTGTATGTCCTGCTGATCATACCCGAAGAGAGAACTTGAGTGAGCAGGATAGACGTGCAGTAGTGAAGTCTGTTTCCTAGGTTTTGCTCTGATACCAATTTTCCTACAGAATCCAAGCCAAAATCTTCACCTGAGTATATATCAGGTCTTCTAGCCTGGTCCTTTTCCTTCTCCCCCTTGAGTCCCTTTCCTTTCTATAATTTGTCCTTTGCACCTTTAACATCCTTGTGCTCTCTTGGTTTCAACATAAACCTCTCAGCTTTTGTGATGGGTAGGAAGTAATGGTTTTCCTTACAACAACAATCTCTACAAATTGCCCACAAATAAGGATCTATCCAATCTATTTGTGCACCTGCACGTTTGTGTGCACATATGCACAAATGTGAATGTTCCATCAAATGAAAGATATTAACCCTCAACAAAGGTTTTAGAACTACATTTTGGGCTCTCCATTATATATTTCTTACTAAACATTTACTAACATGGAAGTGCAGTCAAGATAGAGAAAGGAATATTTAGCAGCAAGAAACTCTGTTTTCTTGTTATTATCATAATGTATTACCATCCACATGGTAAACTGTTTATAAAGTTATTGCTCTGGTCATTTTTTTCATAGTGGGAAACAGTGGGGATAGCTATGAGCATTGAGTTACTTTTGTGACAGGACAAATTTGATGCCATTGGTGTGGCATTACTTAGTGTATGCACCAGCTGATCAGCTGCAAGCTACTTGGCAGATCAAGAGACTTTCAGCTTAGATAAATGGTTTCACTTGGTTTTTTGACATTGATCTGTAGAAACAGTTCTGCTACTGGTTTTTGATGAAACACAAGCCTCCACTTTGGGAAGCCAGCTGATACTCTGAAGAGAAGTGAAACATTTGTTTGTCCATTAGAAGCATCGTTGCTCTTTCGCGTAGCTGGGTGAAAGACAAAAAAAAAAGGGAACCCTACATTGCTGCAGAAAAATGACAGTTTGGTATGAATTCTGCTGCGTAACATAGGGTAAACATAGACAGTAGGGTAAATGCTTGTGTTAATGTGGCAGCATATTTCTCCTGTTTTACTGATCTTTTTCTGATTATTCATGCCTCTGTCAGCTGGACTTCAGCAATGAAATAAATCTGGGCAGGCAACCGTTAACACAAAGAAAGCTGCAAGTATACAGAAAACTGCAGATTTTTATGGAAGCATTAAATTTATTCTAGAGTATGTGTAATGTCCTCTGTGCAGAATTTCAAGAAAAGAAATGCTTTCTTGTGCACAGATAGTGAGTGGCCTGGCTCCATCACATACACTACATCAGTGTCACTTATGGGCTGAAGACATGCTTGGCAGCAGTGCTCTGGTGCCTAGTGGAACACTTCCCTCAAAAGAAAGAGTCCCAGGCAGTGATAAATGCTTCTCAATATCCTCTGCTCGTGGTGGTGTTTTGTTTTATTTTTTTTTTCTTCTGACTTTCTGTTTTTAAACATCAGAGCTTCAATGTAGAACATTACAACATTCCTGTGAGGGAACAGTGAAAGAACATATATGTGACAGATGTTAGTTGTGTTTCTTAGTATGTTCATAGAATCATAGAATCACCTATGTTGGAAAAGACCTCCAAGATCATCCAGTCCAACCATTCACCTACCAGCAATATTTTCCTCACTAAACCAGGTCCCTCAGTGCAACAGTGTTACTTGACAATGCTCTTCAGTAGTGAAGATGGTGCGGGAACCCATGTAGAATGAAATCTAACTGTTTTGGCCTATTAATCATGCCATTTTTAGGTACTTCTGAGTTCCATAACACATTTTCTTGGTCCAGCCTTCTCACTGGAGATTTTTCCATTGCTTCAGTCTCATTCCTGATGATTTGGTGTTTTTTGCCATGTTCGATTTACGAAACATCAGAAGTTTTGCTGTGGAAATTTATGCTGTCATATGATTAATATCAGCCTGTTAATACTGTGCTTACAATTTTCTGGACCTGCTAAGTATTTAGTGATTTACCCCACCCTACTCCTGCTGGGTCTGCAACTTTAGTTTGAGAACTCTATTTTGAAAAATTAGTCCTGGTCAATTCCAAGCCATGCTTTTTAGCATCGTTGGCATACATTCTAGTACAGTAATAATCACTGAAAATTAATGACTTTTTGATTGTACTTGAACTGCTTCCAGATAAGTTAGCAGAAGGATGCTTCATAAACAATCAGGATTAGGTATATTGCCCATAAAGAAATGGAGAGCTTTACGTTCAGGCATTCCCCAAAATGTTTGCCTTTGCTCCCTGGGTTATTGCACATTCATCATTTATGCATCTAGGGTTACCTAGGAGCTACAGCTTAGTTACTTCTCATTGCTGATTTCCTATACCACTCTCCCAACTGCAATGACTTGTCTGCTCTTGCTTCAGCAGTAAGCTTCCACATTCTCTGTCCCATTACTGAGGCTTACAAATTGTCCTGGAACTTTCAGTCTTTATATAATCTCATCAGCTTTGAGACAGTTTCATCCTTTTTTTCTTTCTCTTTTACAACAGTGCAGAATGTGTTACTAGGAAAAATGGACAGTTGCTTCTGGATGCATTAACTTCTGAAAATTCCTTTTGAACACAGACAGGAAGAATCCTGAAACAGGCTAGAAACTTCTGCAGTGTTCTGCAGAAAGTGGATATTTCATGCAGCAAGCATGGATTTGGCTTAGGTGATGCTTAGGTTCATCCTTAGGTCTGGGAAGTGAAAATTATTCCAACTCATGGGATGTGGATGATAACGTGGATGGTACAGCTACACATGCCCTTCTCATTTTAATTCTGTTATATATTCGTATGTTTTAAAGCGTGAAGTATAGAGGATACGTCAGAGCTGACAGTCGGAATCAAATTCTCAAAGGGACCTGGAAGATTTAGAAATACCACAGTTACCGAATGCCATGTCATAACTTAGGTTGTTTTGGGATTCTTCCTTTGGATTCCATTGGAAGGAGAAATAAAAGAGTGCTTGGAGTTATTTCTGAATTTTGCTTCCATGTCTTAAATCAGAAGTTTGTATTATTTCAGTCACGTGGATCCTGTGTGCCCCAATGCGGATGCAGTCCTAAGTTGCAGGATGGCTAGAAGTGGGTTTTTTACATTGATGTTCTAAATGGTTTTAATTTTATTTATTCGTTTTTAATCTTGTTTTTTTTTTTTCTTCTGTTTTCAATTAAAGTTTTAATTTGCAGAGAAGATGTGTGATCACATCAGAGACAGGTGAGAATTCCCTGGGATGTCGTTCATGTGTGTGAGTTGTACAGTGTGTGCTGTCTGTACTACAGCATTCTTCGCATATAACAAATTAAGCACCTTATACCTCACCATATCAAACAAGCAAATGGAAAAATAAGGGTTTCTGATTTTTCCATACATCCTTTGACAGTTTTCTTTCTCAATCAGCCTGGTAGCGCTTTAAGGACAGGGATTGAGCTTGGCTGATTAACCTGTTTGTAACTTCTTGGAACACAAGTTGATAGGTTATCCGAGTGTAACCCAAGTGATTCCCTTTGGTAGACAAAGATTTACTGATGTTGCAAAAAATTATCAGTTGCTTTGTCTGAGAAAAAAGTATTTGTTTGTTTTTTAACTGTATGAAGACTGTTACATCGTAGTGAAGACGTAGTGCTTTTTTCTGAAGATATCTACTGACAAATAATAAACATATGTGTAGCCCGTGTTTTTAAAGAGCTTTTTGATAGCTGAAGCTTTGGCATATACCCAAGAACTGTTTAGGAGGTATTAATTTATATGACTATGAAGCTTAACCAGGGATCTTAATGAAAGAAAGGCATGATGAAGTTAGTAAAGCTAATTTAAATCTCTGAATGTACATTTTAAATTAAGTTTTTATTGATAATAAATATACTTTGTTTCTCATTAGTCTTCTAGGCTCCAGTGGTAATATCAGTAAAATAAGCATGTTTAACAAAGATTTAACATTAAAAATGCTATTAATGTGACCCTGGGTACACCAGCACAATTAGATTTCAAAGTGAGCATTTAGGATGTAACAGCGATTAATGACAACCATCGAAAACAATTTTGAACTCCATCAGTTTAACTCAGGAGGGTAAACTTAATATGATAATTTATCTAGTTGAATTGTATCAGCTTAGCAGGAAAGTATGCAAATATGTGACCCTTACCTAGAATCTAAATGGATGCTGCGCTGATGGATTTATCAGTTCCATTAAAGAACTTTAGGGAACTTTGGAATTTCAGCAATTGTTCCCTCGGAGGCTGAAAACCAAACCTGATCTCATACTGGGACCATTCTGGTCTGCATATTTCCATAATTTGCCTTTGCTACTAATATGACAGCAAGACACAAATAACTGTTTCTAATAATATCAAATGGAGTTGTGGAGGACAGCATTTTAATGTAGTAAAAGACCTCCCTGTGGGGTTGTTATTGCTGCTATAGAACAGCAGTTCCACAGTTGCAACAATAGTCTCTTAATTGATTCGTTTAATTAGCAAGAGATGAAGCTTGTGCTGCGTCTTGTCATCTGTTATCATGGGGGTGGCTACAGAGAGAATCTTTGCATTTGTCACTCTTTACGTACGGGTTTAAGTAGAGTAAAAGGAAACTTCCAAACACATTGCAGCTATAGAGGTGGGCTTTAATCAGAATGTTTTCTCTGTGTGTTTCCACAGAGCAAGTTGTCAGTGTGTGGGCACGGCTGGCTCAAGAGCTGCAGTCGTCTCCGCGATGGATTTTATGACAAAGCATTGTTTTACTGGGGAAAATCTTAATGCAGATACGTTTGGCATTTCTAACCTAAATATGCAAATCTAAGTATTATAGGAATGGTGGATTATTTGGGGCATCGGTGTTGTAACAGTTGACTAGATTTACTTGGAAGAAATAGGGTCAGATTAGTGAAACTGGCCATCTGGCTTGTGATTGCTTTTTAGTGGCATTTTTGTTTCCAGTCTGGATAAACAATGAGTTACAGGGCCACATGGTCCGTGGTAGGAAGCATGTGTAAAAGAGGGACATTCTTTGTGGCTGGTTTTCCCTGGAGTAGTTATGCATACAGATACAGTGCTGTGCTTGCTTCTGGCAAATGAAGTCATTTTTTATTCGGATCTATTTTATTTAAACTTCAGGGGTATGTAAACAAATATATTTTAAAGCTATGTAAATACATCAGAGCTTTGGTTTCATTTTCCTCCTCTCGTTGGCTTAGGTTTATCTTCTGTTCAAGGTTATTCTTCCTTATGGAAGGAAATATTTCTAGAGGAGGACAAACTTCTTGTTAAATGCTAATTAAGAAAATGAAGGTTACATTGGCATGCTTCCATTGTCATAGCACTGACCTAAGATAAAGGATCTCTTATTAATCTGAAATAAATTAGTCAGAGGGGGAAGCAAGTGATTCTGTGCATGTAAAACACTCAAAGTGTCTATTCCTGCTCTGTTTTTAAATACCCATATTTCTGTTTTGTTGCTGTTACTTGCTAGTTTGTTTTTGTTTTTCCATCGGTGCATTGGCTGTGCCATCGAATTTTGGAGTGTGCTGCTGCTGTCAATCATTGTGCCATAGGGTCAATGTGCTGTTAGAAAAGGTGTAGAGTTTCTTTTTTTTCCTTTTTTCTTTTTCTTTTTTTTTTTTTGACAATTTAAACAGAGATTTCACCCACTTATCACTAAAGATCCCATGGTAATTTCCACAAGGTTCTGAGATTGCTTCACATTCTGAGAGTCTTGGCCAAAGTCCACTTTGTGTAATTACCTTCTGTCTACATAAATCCCTAATGCAATTTTAGATGTGTTTGGTATTTTTCACTTCCTGTCCTAAATAGAGAAAATATTGCCACACGCTGCTCATAATTACTGTGGGTTGCATCCTAAGATCAAATAAAGAGATTCCTGTAAATTGTCTTTGTCAATTTTGTTTTCCCATTGTTAAAGCACCGGAATACATGACAAAAGATGAGTAAACAGTAGGGTGTGTAATTAAATTCACAAACTGATGTAATAACTGTTTTTGGTTTGTGGGTTTTTTGTTTTTTTTTTCTGTTCTGTTACATTTTGGCTGTCTGTGAGATAAAATATTTCTACTGATAGGACTGTTAGTGAGGAAAAAGGTCAACTTTGAGGCCATATCAGAGGTCAAATTTAACACACTGCCATACACTTTGAAGCAGGTAGTATGCTGGTATGAGACTTTAGATGCCACCATTGTACAATGAGTTGTCTTTTCCTTATGTTCCATACTTTTTTGTTCCCATGCCTGAAACTATTGCCTTTCATCTCTTACCTTAACTAAAATTGATTTCATTTCCTCGTTCTGGATACCTGTTGTGGAACCTGTTGTGGAAGAATGTGTTCAGTACTGTCTTTAAACTTATCTGCTTCTGCTGTTCTATATTGTGTCTTTTGATAGAATTTATTGCTTTATACGAAGCAATACGAAGTTCATTCCTCCTGTTTTCATCGCAAAAGCTTATATTACGTTATTTTATGCTATACCCAAAAGTCCTTCATTCTGATATTTCATCTGTTCTTTCTAGTCCTTCTTTTGCTGATTTTTTTCTGCCGTATTTATCTCCTTCTGCTATTCTTAGATTGCTTCTCTTGTGCATTTCTTGTGTCAAGGTTTTTAGGAGTAGTTATCTATTTTTGCTAGGTATACAGGTTAGGTTAAGAAGGGAGTTACTGCTGTTAATCTGATACTAATTTTCACCTTGTGTAAGCAGCATTTAAGGCAAGCATGAGAATAAGAATAAGCTACAGAAAAACTGCTATGCGTCAGCAAGCTGTATAGCTCAGCTGAAGGTGTCCACAGCTGGAACATCGGAGACTCTTGTTTCTTGGGAGGCAAAGACATCCTTTGCCCCTGATATGTATCTGATAGTATAGGGGTACAGTTTAGTCAGTGCTAGTAAAATAGAACATTAGTCTTCAATAGCTATTTTGTAGCTCTGCATATTTTTCCCATCATTCACTGTAGTTTGTATCTAAATAACAAGGAAACTGAATATACCAAGTAGAGACAGTTTAGTTCACTTTTAATGAAACCGAAGTTTCACAGAAATTCTCTTCTGTGCCAGGTACACTGAGAATTACATAAAACCTCTGCATGTCTGCTTTTCTGAAGGACAGCAACCCCCCACTGCTGCAGACATGCTTACTGATAGCAACAGGCAGTCTACATCTTCATTTCATTCATGCCATTTGATATTTATAGCCCTTGCCCATAGTGAGGCGAAAGAAGGTGAAGGGCAGAGCAGTTGTAGGAAATATCATGCTTGTGTGACCATCTCCCAAACCCCATTCTTGTGTCTTGGAGAGGTGCCATGTTGGCAGGGTGCACAGGAAGTATTAGCATAGCAAATTGTGTTATGAGCAGCAGAACCACAACAAGGTTCTTCCTGCATCTGATGATAATTGTTTGATTGGGGGGAAGGAGGGGAAAAAAGGGAGGTCAGGGCGATGCAGATGAAAAGGAAAAGCCTGCACTATTGTTAAGAACAGTGAAAACAAAATGCCCCTGTGCCGAAGAGCGTGTGTGGCACAGCAGAGCTGAATGAGACACGGGAATATTCCATCATGTCCCGAAGTCTGGTGGGTAGGAAAGGTGTGGTGATCTCCTGTGTTTCCACTGCTAACTCGTTTTCCTCCTTGCTTCAGGGTAATTTCTCCTGAAGTGCCCTCAGAACCAACTTTCACTTTCTTTGATGTCAGTCTTCATATGAGGAAAAACAAAGATGTTTGAGTTTTAAACTATTTATGTTAGTGTGCTGTTGCTAGTCTATGGGTGTTCCTTGTTTTTTTTTTTTTTAGTGAGGGTTTTGTGTTATTTTGTTGGTTTTTTTTTTCCTCCCATAATCTTCTAAGGTCCAAGCCCACTGTTAACATTTAACAAATACTCAGTGAGAACAACCCAATGTGGTCACTGTACCAAAGCCAGATCTGGACACAGCATTAGGGAGATCACAGCTATGTCCTGGAAGGCATCTGTCCCACAGCCTGTTTTTTGACACAGTGACACAGAAAAGGAGTATTTGAAGGTGGGAATATCCTATTTTATGGTATGAAGTGGTGGCTTCTGCGGAGCACAAACTGTACTAGTGCTTCCTGTAAAGCAAACTTTACACGTCAGGGAAGTTGAGCAACATCTCAAGATGCAAAAGAGGCAGCGTTTATCTATGCTTAGTATTTTTCTTGCCGTGTGCAGGCAAGATTAGAATCTAGAACAATAGTGTTTCCTAACTTATCTTAAGTAGCTAAATAGAAGTGCAGTGTTACTTGTGAACTAACTGTGCAAATGTACTCATGCTGTTGGAGAGCCCAGAGTGGCATTTTAGTGAGTCGAAGAATGTTTGAGGCTGGAAGGGACCCATCCGTTCAAAGCAGGTTGACTAGAGCAGGGCAGTCAGGGCTGTGTCCAGTTGGCTTTTGAGTATCTCTGAGGTGTCCCCTAAGGCATTACAGGACAGTGATGCAGAGGTAATGTAGACAGAGAAAATCAGGACAAGCAATTCCAGGTTTGTATCATTCTTTACAGTAGCTTGAATGTCTATTCTCAGGAATATCCAGACGAAGAGAGGTCAGAAGTTCCATGTCTAATCTAAAGAAGGCTGCACATTTGTGATGGAAACATAAGCATGTAGCAGAGAGCACTGGTAGTACTGTGAGGCTTTGAGACTCAAGAGAGCTCGGGCAGGTTGGTGCCTCTTAACCCACCAGAGTCCTGCTAGAAGGGTGGAATGAAGCCATATGGAGGGTTAAGAAGAGGTTATCAGAAGAGATGTACTGGAGTCAAAGTATCAGCAAAAGGGAATCTGTTTTGGTTTTTTTCTTTCTTTCTTTTTTTTCTTTTTTTCTTTTTTTTTCCTCTGTAAATGCTTTATAATGTTAAAAGTAAGTGCATGTTTTCTGTGGATGTGTGTAAGGTCACCACTTTTCCTTTGGATGGTAGATAAATTTTCAAAGGAAAAAAAGTGCTTAGCTTAGCCAATCTCTTAGGTTCATGCCTCAAAAACATGAGGGTTCACAGGGAAGGTAAGAAGTAGAAAAATAGCATCAAAGCCATCTGATTATTTTCCCTGCCTGGTCTGATTGGTCAGAGGTTTGTTCTTTCCTCATTTAGGTACAGAGTTTTTTTTTTTATTACTAGGATTACTGGCTCATTTCCATGCAGGTTTCCCTACATTGTTATTTGCTCCGCTCCAGAATCAGCTCTGCTTATGGCAAACAATCTCTTTTACACTTCTTCTTTTCTTTTAACTCTGATCCTAGAGCACTTGCTGAGAGGCAGAGGGAATCAAAAGTTCCTTGGCGTTTGGAGGGGAGTTCTCCCCTCACAAAGAATGACCCACTCTCAGTGGGTCCCTCTGGTGAATTGAGGGCCAGCTCTGAGGAAGCTCTTCCAGTGCTGTGCCAGCTTTGCAAGTGTTTTAAAACCTGTGTGATGTTTCAGGCTTCGTCACAATGCATATGGCACAAGTTGGCCTCCAAATGATGTTTAGCATTGTGAGATTGCTGGGAGGCCCCTCCAGCTGCAGATAAACAAGCTGTGGTAACACTGCTGATTTTTTAATTCCTGTCTCTTTTTGCGGTTCAGAACACTGCTAGAACTACACTGGAACTGGATTGAGTAACATGAAGGACATACTGTCTTGTCTGAAATACCTCATCTGAAAAAGCGTTGTTCATGCTGACAGATGGTATTGCATTGTCTTGAGCCTGTGCTGTGCATGTGTCCCAAGCTGAGCAGTTGGCCTCAGAGCACTGACCACTGTTTGCCAAAGAATTTGGGTGTGCAGTGGGATGGGAACAGATGCCCCAGTAGTTAGCTGTGGTGGATGGAAGTGGGGGAATCTGGGCTAATGTGAGCATCAGCTCTGTTCCTCGGGCTTGAAGAAAGCAGAGTGAGCATAGATTGTAGGAAGAATGGTGTGTTTGGGGTTTTGTTGCAGTACAGGTAATCCCAATCTCTAGGACATCGTGACCACTCTGCAGTGGGAGATGAGCAACAGAGAACTTCCCCTGCAGAAAAGCTTTCTACCAACAGAGCTTCTTCCTGGGAACTCATAGCCACAGGAGTTCTCAGTGTAAGGATGGGGCTTAAAGGCCTGGCAACTGTTGGGAAAGGCTTACATTATACCTTGCTCTTTTGTCCAAATGAGAGCTGCTTCTCACTAGCTAAAAGGTCTGTCTGTGCCTGCTAGCTCAGAACAAGACCTCAAGGGCTGAGTAACCCAACTCTCTGCAGCCCTCCACAGCTCATCCTGAAACTGCTCTGTTTTGGTTTTGATTCCTTTTTTATTTAGAGTTGAGATTTTCTTATGTAATATACAGCTAAAAGTGATTTTAAAGTACTTGGACTTAATCGTGTTTGTGTTGCCCACCCCCATGCTTTTATGTCTGAAGGCTCCATTAGTGTTCGTAAAAAAGAGAGAGTAACACAGATGGTAAACATTTTTACCCCAGAACACCAGCAGTGAACACCATATCTCTGATTTAGGAGTCTCGGTGCTGTGCTTGCTCAGCTGTACATAATCACTCTCATATCCTTCTCTTGGGTTTCTGGCCAGTGAGGGAGCTGTACTGGCAAGCTCAGAGACATCTCCCTGGTATCTCTGTGCTATGGCTCAGTGCTCATATGTAGCACTTTCCAGAGCAAGAAGCTCCACACTGGAGCTGGTGTCAGCTTTCTTGTAGCGTGTTGTCTGATTTTTAGAGATTCACTAAATTTACTAAAATTAAAACTCTTTCGGATGACGACAGTATCTTCCTTAGCTGCCAGGCAGCCACAGCAGTTATCGTGGTTGTGAATGCCTGCTTGGTACAAAAGATAAAAATCCTGGGGAGCTGCGGTTCGCCTTGCCTGAGTTTTGTGGTAGACCCCATGGTGGGAGCTTGTGTGCA